AATTAATTATTAATTATTATAAATTAATTAATTATAAATTAATTATTTAAAAAATTAATTAATTTAAATATTAAGTATAATTTATAGGATATATACTTTCTTTATAATGCCATTACATATTTCTATTAATATAAAAAGTTTCAGAGCTTTTTATTCACTTTACTTTTTTGGGATTTTATGAACTTAAAAATGACAGTTTTCGTGAGAATGACCCATATATATTATACACAATATATTAAAAGGAAAAACACAATCACTGTGCTCTTGTATGAGCAAACTACATTAATTATAATTGACTTAGAGAAAATAAGCAACAGCTGAACACGCTTAAAACAAATAATGCTATAGTAAATGAAATAGTTTAATATAACTGAAATATCATCCTTAAATATCCCATTTGTAGCATTTTGAGTGGCTACAACTTTTAAAAAAATGAAAATAAGAAACAAAATTCCCTGTATTTCTCCAATTTTTAAAGAAAAACTCAAAATTCACTGCATTTTCAATGTTATTTTAGGTGATTTTTTAAATTCCCTGTACTTTCCAGGTTTTCTTTATTCAACCTGAGGAGGGGCAACTTTGAATTAAATAAAACACCTCGATTTGTTTGAGAAATTCTGAGAGAATGAGAAAGCGCACAATAAAGAAAACAAAATTGCTTTCTCATAAGCATGGACAAAAGTTAAACTATCTTTATTTTATATACTGTATCAACTAACGAATATACTCACTTATCTTCCATGGATACGTTACACAGGTATATATGTATAGCAACTCCATGTCTAATTGTGGGATCGCCAGCACCACAAACTGTTTTCAGACCCTAAAACATGTTTCCACAAAATATAATTTTAAAATATTGAAACTGTAAAAAGTATGTGTTCATTACTTATCAGGTTACAAATTTTAAAACTTCACTAAATACTTTTTAATAAAGATATGTGTAGACTTACGATGATATTTTAAACTTTAAGATATACATTTAAAAACTAAAAGTATGTTTGGCTGAATACCATTCAATAAAAATAAAAATTACATTTACGGAACTCTCACACAATTTCAAAACTAAAATTCCTTAACTTAGTTAATAGAAAATACCAATTTATTTTAATTCATAGTTGAGTTATTTGATAATAAGATACCTGATAGCAGTGTGGGTATCTTGATCCTGATTGGTGGTTGAAACGTAGCATTTGTTTACATAAGTAACTGTATTTTCCTTTATATTTCGAGTCTTTATTCTTTCACTATATATTTACAGAGAGACTAAACACAAAGCCACGCAGAACATAAACAAACTAATCAAAGTTCACAGATACACAAAACAAAAAATATATCACGGTTACAATAAAATGTGTAAACAAATAATAAATCTAAGTTACGTAAAAGACGTAGATAAAAAAAATTATATTTCAACAAATTTGATGTGCGATACAGCTTTATATTTATTTAACCTCACGTTAATTAACATTCAAACTTAGATGAAAAAATTTAGATCAAATTTAAGATGCCATTTTGCTTATAAACAATCATCTGGCACTGACGTCATAGGTGACATGTGTGGGTATTGAGATCTTCTTCTTGAAGGAAAGGAACTCAATTGATAATCAAATAAATCCTCTTTCATATTTGATTTTAAATTATTATAAATGTACAAGCAACTTGGGTAATAAGCAATGCCATTAGAATGTAAACTGCTGTTTGTAGAAAATGCAACACCATGAAAGAATCATCAGAATCAAATGAAATTTAATGCAGAAACGACTTGTACTGATACAAATAAATGATGAAATTTTCAAAACAAAAGAAACCAATTAAGCGTCCGAAATCAGTATTTGGTGCAGCCACCACGCGCTGCAATAAGTGCTGCNAGTGTAACATTAATAGAGTCGAATCAGTCATCAAGGCATACGCGTGGATTTTACAGAAAATTGAATTATGCAATACCTTTTAAAAATTTTTTTAATTGGAAATTCTTGTGGTTACGATTAAAAACATAATTCGCACAGACAGCTCAAGTTTTAAATATAATTATTACTAGCCTATTTAATAATATTATTAAGCTAGTGAATAATTAATATTAAATATTTTTGCATGAAAAAAATTTTTAAAAAAAATATTGTTAAACAAAGAGTATTTTGCACATATTAATACTCTAATTTTCATAAACTTAAACATATGATACTATAGTGCAGCAGAATTTCTACAAGAAATAATAGATATCAGTCTAATTTACTTTAAATTTATCGGATATTTTTGGCAAGCGTGAAGATTGGCATTTTCCAAGTTTGTAGCATAATTTTTCCCAATTTTGCTTAAAAAATTTATTATTCTCAAACTTCTTTTTGCCACAAAACTAATACCCCCTGATATAATCCTAGTTTTCTAGGGAACCCTGAATAAACACAAGGAACTGCATTCAAAGCAAAGGTTTAATGACTATACTATCTTGTTTCCAAATGTGTATCACTATCATGCAGTAAAGAAAGATAAAATTACAATAAAATTCCCGTGGCAGAGATCGTTGCGACACGGCGACATTGTCACAGAACGTTACCGAGTTCTTTCAGAAAGATTCTTCCCTTGGGAAGTAAAAAATTTGGTTTTCTTTTCTGTAGAAATTTTCGTTCTATTTTTTAACGCAGTTATTACTATTGATTTCCTCATAGCTTTTGAAATCCGATACTTTTAATACAATATTATTGATTACAACTGAATACTGAAATAAAAACATACATTTAGTTACCTCCTTTTGAAGAGTCCGATTCGCTTGATTTTGCTATCGATCTTTTTTTCCGGTAGTTACTCGTAAGGATTTTATTTTATTTAAATGTGATGATGATTTAATAAAAAGGAAATAATAAGTGTGCTTCCCCCCTTACAAAATACAAGAATATCCTATAATATTAGAATTTTAAAAAAAAATTACATATTCAATTAAAAAAATTTTTTTATTTGATCCCAAAGATTTTTTCATTTTTTGAAGTTGATGCTTCTGTTACTTTAAATTAGTAACATGTATATTTGTTATTTTAAAATATCGTGCAGAAAGATATCAGTATAAAAAATTCTGCCACTGGGATAAAATTACACATTTTAAACTCAAAAAAATAAGTTATTACATAAGACTTAGTCATTACCTCAACAAAATCAACTTGTTCAAGATCTCTGTCAGGAATAGGGAATGGCTTCCATCTCAACTAAAGATAATTTTCAAGAATATTTTTATATAATATCAAACAATGCTCATAATCGACAAAATTCAAAAATATAATGTACATTAAATTACTTGATTGGGGTTAGGACTATTTTCTGACCAATCATGAGTTAGATTACCACAGTTAATAGGTTTGAAAGGCATATGCAACACAGACGGCCTAATTCTATAGAACCACCTAAATAATTAGCAAAAAATCATTTATTAATTAGTATTAAAAACAAAACAAATCAACATGTAATCAATATACACAAGGCAGGTATAGAGAACAGGGTGCATAGCCAAATCTTTCTACAAGAAATAAGTACCTTTTAAGTACTTTTTTAAGCACTTCGAAAAAAATTTTAAGCACTATATACATTAATAAAATGCAAAATAATTTTCAAGGACTTTACATGATTATGATAAAAATAACTAGTTTCTGACAAAGAACTGTTTTTCTTGATTACATTATAGCCACCATAAAAGGATAGAGGGATTTTTTGGTTCGATTTCAGAGGGAGAAAAATGAACCTGAAATCCAGAATCTCTTGGAAAATGCAACCGAGTTGCACATGATAGTGCCAGAATAATTCCCACTGAATCCAGCTCAGTATATGCACATCCGGACCTTCAAACATTTAATCAAACATGTAAAATGATTGGCGTTTTTATACGTTACGCTAAAATGCACTTTGTTTCAATAATTTGTGAAAACGTTGAATAGAAGAATATGAAAACCACGCTTTTGCATAATATGTGGCTAAAATTGTCACTGTAAAGAAGGAAAAATTATTTCCGAAAAGGGAAAATTAAGCACTTTTTAAAAATCACCCAACAAAAAAGCGCCTTTTAAGGGCTTTTAAAAAATGAAAATAAGCACTTTTTAAAAATGCTTACGCTAAAATGCACTTTGTTTCAATAATTTGTGAAAACGTTGAATAGAAGAATATGAAAACCACGCTTTTGCATAATATGTGGCTAAAATTGTCACTGTAAAGAAAGAAAAATTATTTCCGAAAAGGGAAAATTAAGCACTTTTTAAAAATCACCCAACAAAAAAGCGCCTTTTAAGGGCTTTTAAAAAACGAAAATAAGCACTTTTTAAAAATGCTATGCAACCTGGAGAATTATAGATATTAGTTCATTTTTGAAAGAATAACCACTTAAAAAATGACCTTTAGATAGAATAGCTGACTTTATAGAATAACTAGTGTAAGTCACTATTCCTAGTCACTAATGTATAACTTCCTCACCTAAAATTTTAGACATGCAATAAACATTTAAACCAAAACTGGTTCAGAAGTTAGACTGCCTTTTAATGCCATAAAAAATCTATTTACAAAACATATTTTTCCCATTGGTAACTGACATATTTAAAAATTTGACCGAATAAACAATGTCCCATTTTTGCAGCCTACTAAACAAAGTACTTAAACCAGAAAGTTTAAGCACTAAAAATTTTTTATAACATGCAATTTAACATGTTCTGTCAATAAGATTTTCAATTCAGCATTTCCTAACACAATATGTTAAAGTTTATTGTAATATGGTGTTGAATAATTATGTTTCCATCATTATTGTAAAATTATGTTTCCATTATTATCCATCATCATTATTATTCTGTATTAGATACGTTTCATATTCAATATTAACATATGAAATTAATATACTTTGTTTAACTAAAAAATGTTTATAACAAAGATTATTCAGAAATGACAACTGTTTCGGATTTAACAAAATATTTAAAAAAAACTGTAGAGAACTACAGACTGAAATTTGCAGATTTTCAGTTAATTTTGCCAATTTTTAAAAGGGTCTCAACGCGGCTCAACTGTAACAAAGCGGCGTTTCACATAAGCCTGTGAATTATTTAGAACTATTGGTGAATTAAAACTCTATAAATCAAATTTACTAAACCAAGAATCATACATTTAAAGACTCGAAAATATCTACTTGCTGACTGGAGCAATCTGGCATCTCTGGATAATTAAATATTGTATATAAATTATAATTAAAAAAAAAAGAATACATAAAAAAAAAAAAACATTTGGCTCACGTTCGTCTGTTGTGCTCTCGAGGTGCAGTAAAGGCAGTTCCAGATAGTTGTTCCGCATACAAGCCATACGGGCATACTTGTGGATTGTTCTGAAATGATCATGCAAATTATTAGTATGCACCTACAAGTAGTTATTCAAGTGTAAAATTTAAGGAAAGCATTAAAAACAAGGGAATAAAATTTGAATTCTGCAATGCCTTATCTATGATTATACTAAATTTAAGTCATACAAAATTTTTTACATCTATTTCTATTATATTTATTCAAGAGTTTACTAAAATATCTAATTTTTTGACATCAGGACGACCTCTTAAAAGCCAGCATATTATGAAATGGAAACTAACATAATAGTTTTTATGTTAAATGTTACAAAAATATTAAAGTTAATATTAAGCTCCATAGCGACTTGGCACACAAGATATGTAGATTCACATAAATAAATACATAAATGCAGGATGAGAAAAAGAACTCCCTCTCATCCCTTCTTCTGCCGCTGTGATTCCAGCGCCACAACTTCCCCGCCTCACCATTATCACCACTTCCCCGCACCACTGCCCCTCCTTTTTCTTTATCATCCAGACTCATTCCTCTTTCTGTTGCTGAACAATCAACTGCTTATGTGTTCATAAGCCCTGTCTGTGTGTTCATAAGCCCCATTATGTGTTCCTAAACCCCGCCCCTCCCCCATTTTTCAACTTAATATTTTCTAAAAACATTTCATATTTCATCATACATGTAAAAATCATTTTGTCATTAAATACTCCTATCATTGAAGAACTGTCATTCCTCTCCAAAACACCACATAAATACTTAACAATTATAAATACTTGCCAAAATCATAATAAAAAGCTAATATTTGACTAAAATATTAATTTAGAAACCTACCTTTTACATATATTTACTACCTATAAAATTTGTAATAAACATAAAACAGGCATAACTGAGTTTTAACAGGGTGGGTAAAAAAAATTCTCAACAAAAAAATAAGCACCTTTTAAGGAATTGAAAATATTTTTAAAAACTTTTAAGAAAAAAAAATCAAAATGTGCACACGAACAAGAATTTTCTTCCAATTATTCTTGATAAAAAGTTGACACTCAATATAAAGTGAGTGCACTGCATATTCTTCTTCTTCTCATTGGCATGACAGCCCAGGATGGGTCTTGGCCTTCTCAACAAGCCTATGCCAAGACATTCTTCCCTTAGCCAAGGCTCTCCAGTTTATAATCCTTAAAACTTGTAGGTCCTTTTCAAGGCAGTCTAAAAATCTTAGGTTTGGCTGTTCTCATTTTCTTGTACCTGTTGGCCTGGCACTGAAAACATTTTTGGTTGTCCTGTTATCCTCCATTCTTATAACGTGGCCTGCCCATTTAATCCTTTGAATTTTGATAAATTTAATGACATCAGGTTCCTTATATGCTTCCATCAAACACGGAACGTGTTTGATCTTCTAAACCAGGTACCACTTTTACTTATTCCACCAAAAATGCTTCACAGTATTTTTCTCGTGCACTGCATATACTCATAGCTAAAAAACTGCTTCTAACATAGCAATGTATTAATCTAATAAGTATTTGGCAACAGAAAAATTGTTAACAATGCAACTTTTCATGGTTAGCCTCCCCTCGCCCCCAGGTTAACCGTGGGAGATTTTTCTCTCTATGTCATGTAAATGCGGGTTAGTTCCATCAAAAAGTTCTCCACAAAAGCAAATTTCCCCCAATACTTGTTTCAGGGGTTTCCTTGTCTTCTGGATTGGGTTCAAAATCACAAGGCTATGGAGTTGAACATTAGTAGTCTCTCGCAAAATGCAGCAGAGTTGGACATGTGAGTGAAAGAAGTTTTCCATCAAATCTACCTCAGTGCGTGTGTAGACTCGCCAGAAAATGCAGAATGATGACTTATTCGTATGATATAGGCCACGGCAAGCGGAAACAGATTGTGTTCGAATTAATCATGAAAGCGTTGGACGAGACATTGTGAAAAATAATGTTTTTCTTATAATTAGCATCGAATAACTTAATCCTCTATTAAAGTTAAAATATTTACCTGGCCCCATGGCAAAGAATTAGGACACCTGGGATCTTCAGAAGTGAGATCACTGCCAAAACCAGAAAGATACTATAAAAAAAAATTTATAACACCAAAAATTAATAGGGCATTACTAACAAAAATTTAAAAATGAAATTTTATAATATCAAAAACTACACTTAAACTGATCAATTAAAAAATTTTAAAATGATAGACTATTAAATTAAGACCATTAAAAAAAACTTATGACAAGTTTTTTTTCCATGCTACTTTGAACTACTTTAAACAGATGCTACTTTGAAAACAGAAAACTTTAAAATTGCTAGACATTTAAAGATAAATGAAGACCACAGGAAAAGCTTTTTTTCACACTACTGGCAGTCATCACTATGTAAAACCTCATGGTATGTAGGTACTTTATTTATGTCTCACTAGAGCTGCACAATGAGTTTATTGATGACAGTCTGGGAAACATTCCTCAGGATGATTCGAAGACATGCCATTGCAGTTTTGATCCTCTGAAGAGGTGATGGTATCCCGGCAGCCTGCGAGCGAAGTCGAGCACTTTACAGTATATCAGTTTAATGAGGTCCCTAAGCAGGCTGATCAAAGTGGCCACTCACCCGCTTACTGACCACAGCCAGTGATGTTTGACTTCGGTGTTCCACTGGGTTGTTCCTTTATGATCAGTCCACTGTGGGACAATACCTCATGGGGAGAATAAATTTTTCATTCTGATTTGTCAAAACTTAGTAATCATCAAAATCGAACACATGGTGATACTTTTCGGAAAAATGTACATATAAAGTGTTCCCCCCCCCAGCCCGGTCGTCAAATATTAACTCTTTCGCGCCTAACGGGACACATACGTCCCAAGCAAATTTCAAAAAAATCTTTTGGGACAGAAACACTTCTGTGTCTAATGGGAGACTTTCCCACCAGTCCTGCCAATATTTTTGAAGGTATTTTCATTCAGAAAACATGGATGGCACTACCGTACATAATGCTGCCCTACTCATAGTTTATGCTACCAAAATTGCTCTGTTGTAAAAAAAAATTGTCGCGAAAGGGTTAAAAGTAATCTACAATACTAATAGTGTAAATGAGTGAAATAAAAATCAATTCACACAATTTGTGTCATAAGTAATACTTAAACAATTTTTCAAAAGAAAAAACAAACAAACTTGAACATGAAAAATAAACATACAATAAAAAATTGTAAATCAACTCAAAATAATTAATAGATATCATTCTATGCTCATTATATCAAATGGAATAGTAAAAAAAAATTTTTTTTTAAAATCTTATTACAAATAATGAATTTCAGAAAGCATAACGTCAAAAAGAAAGAATTAAATCAATACATTAAAACTGGAAATATTTTGTAAAAATAGAAAGAAAAAAAAATACATAAATTAAAACATGTGTGAAAATAATTTATTAAATTTCAGTATCTTACTTTTTAGAAGCAAAAAATTTAAAACTCACAAAATATGGAAAACTTTGGTTGTATGTAAAACATTAATACATCAACAAATTAGTATTATAAATAAATATTACGAATATTCCAGACATATTAAATTCACCCCAAGTTGTATTATAAAAAATTACTGCTTTATTTTAAATAACATCAAAAAGATTATATAATATTAAATAATATCAGAAAGTTGAACTTGATTTTTTAGATTGTCCATTGCTTATACTTTACCAATATTTTTTCATTTTAAATGATATAATGAATTGCAACATGAAAGATTACAAATATATTTTTAAAAAAGGCAGGAGAAAAATTTAAATATGGAGTTTCATATAAGGATAAGGATTTGTATTATATAAGGAGTTTTTAATAAAATACAATACTAAATTGTCAGCTGTCCAACTGTTTTTTTTTCTTTTTGCTAAGACTAAATAATTACTTATCTATTGAAATCAAATCTTGAATAAATTTTGGGGACACTCTTTATAAAGATCAATTAAAAAAGAAAAGCTAGGCTATACCTACTATCCAAATTAAAGAAAAACTTTTTTCCTATTCAAATTTAAATTCTTTTTCACAAAGCAGTTTTAGCAGTACAAGTGTATTTTAAAGAAAATTGTTATTCAAAAAAAAAACTCAAATTTTAATAATTTAATGTTCCGGATTTCTCAACAAACTATTACTTAAAATAAATAAATAAAATACATAATTGATTTAAAAAAAGGTTAATTCATGGATAAAGCAAAAGAAATAAACTTTTGTTAAATGTAGATGAATTTCAGTATTACAATTTAGAAAATTTTTATAGCAGGGTAGGGGTTTTAGACGTTCTAAACTGGTTTTGGACAGGGCGTGCGGGTTTTACTGACTGTCTTAAAGTGTCCAAAACCTTGAACTTAGGCAAAAGGTAAAAATTCTATATGTGTAACCATTGCACACATAATAATTACATTTATTAATAAATATTTGATACTTTTTATACAATTTGCTATAATCTATTAATGTAATTGGAAAATATTTATAACTTTTGAAAACAACTAAAGTGAATACCTTATCCTTTAAATATGAATAAATATGCTTTTAATACTGCTAAATTATGTTTTGCATAAGGATAAATAATGCATGTATTAAAAATAATAATAAACTTTTTTTAATCAAACAAAAACTTGTCTTCATTTTGTTTCGTGCTCAAAAATTAACCTTTTAATTTTTTACAATATTTTTTTTAAAATTGTGCCATAATTTGAATAAAAGGGTTTTGGACAGTTTAAGACAAAGGGGTTTTAGACTGGACAGTTTAAACGCTGGTTTATACTGTGGATTAATCCAATCTGTCCTAATTCTTACTAACTCTGGTTATAGATTGTGAATATATGTGAAAAGCATAATTATTTAAAACCAGGGTTGGCTTTTTACCGGCAGAAACTGGTTTTTGTCATGCCAGTGGCAGAAACTAGTTATAACCGGTAAAAACCGGCAAAAACTGACTGAAATTAAAAAAAACTTCTATATTAGTTCTAGTAATTGCTTAATGACATTTTGTTTAAGTAAACTGAAAAATCTAACTCCCTGTAACTGTAACAAACTTTTTAATTCGCAAAAGAGTAATCTAACAAAGGAAGAGAATCTTATGGCTGTTTATGAAAAAGAAGTGACATACAGATTTAAACAGGCAGTTACTGATTATCATTTGATAGCTTATATGCTGCATCCAAAGTATTTGGATTGAAATTATCATGTTCTCAAGAAAGTGCCCAAATATTACTCGCCAATATTAACCCAGATTATGAACCTTATGTGATAGCTTTGTAAAACAAATTGGCCCCATTTCCTGAAACTTATTTTTCAGTCAATTTTTGACAACTACCCCAGCTGCTACATGGCTGTTCAGTTTTAAAAAATATGCAATAGATGAAAGTTTCTCAAGTCTTGCTTGTTCCTTGATGGCAATGCCTGCTAGTTCTGCTGGACTTGAGAGAATCTTCTCAAATTTCTTGTTTGTGCATAGCAAATTGAGAAATTGTATAGGTTTAGAAACTGCATCAAAACTTGTCTTTTGTTATAGATTATGTAATAATTGATTTTGTAATAATTGATATTGAATGGTGATAATTTTGTAAATAAATTGTACTTTGTTTAACATTTAATTGTTTTTTTTCTATGAATTATCCATTGTTTGTCAATCTTAGTACTTTTATGGCATTTTCTGAATTTCTGCCACAAATGCGGCAGAAACCGGTTTCTACCAGTGGCTTTAACCACCTCGGCAGAAACTTGCCAACCTTGTTTAAAACAATAACATTTTTAAAATGGGAAGCAATAATGCAAACAAAATTTAAAGCAAAATAACAATGAACGTGATTTTCATACAAACTATCTTTACACTGAAACAAACAATTTTTTCCCACAACCAATTCCATTTCATTCACCTTAACTTCTGTTGTGGCCTGACATTCTTGATCATTTAAAACCCATACAAGCATGGGTTGACTATTTCCTTTTGATGGACTGCTCTCAGTTTCAACAATGGAAGAAGAATCAAAGCTTTGTAAAGATTTTATATGTTTAACAGTTTTTGAATGTTTAATAAGTTCACTTTTACCGGCAACTAGCTCTTGATTACATGATACACAACGCGCGAGAGTTTGATCTTCAGGGTGGCGTGCAAGCCACCCTTTAAATTTTTCATCTTCAGTCCACTTATCTATAAATTTTTGTTTCCGCCACGGCTTTTCGTCTGTATGAGACAGGCGTCCACGCCAGGTCTTTTTCGTGGGTTCTCTTTTTTCTTTCAATGATCCTCCAGATCTCTTTTTTTTATGATTTGTAGAGACCAAAGCAAGATCCATACTGAAAAAAAAAAATTGTTTCATTGCTTAGAAAATAGCAATTATAAATCTTGTTTGTATTAACAAAACTAATCTAAAAATAAATGAAATTACACTAGAATTCAACACAAACATAAGAAATTAACGAATTAAACACACACACATAAATATAATATTAAAGAGTTATATGCATTTTGCTGTCTGAATTATTATGCCTTGCATGCACATGCCAATATGTGAAGGGGTTCTGAACAGTGAAACGGAATACATAGAGAGACTACAGGCATATGTGCTAATTATCTTATTTTCCTACCTTCAGTTTTGCGGTTGCTATCTTTAATATTATCAGCTGTCCTTAGCAGTGTAATTTTTTTCTCCTTTTTAATAGCATACACTTGGGGTCTATTTCCCATTGACCTCAGAAATGCCAAAATGGGTACTCTCTTATCGTTACCCATTGAGCACCTACGGCTAAGCCACGGCGGTGGTGTAGCGTCGCCCCCCTGTGTCAGAATTTTTTTGAGCTATCTGCGACAAAACTCTTTAGCACTAATATCTTTCTGCAAGATACTTTTAATAATAATAAACATGCATGTAACTAATTTTAAATAACAAAAGTGCTGTGCTTACAAAAAAAAAAAAATTATATATAAATTTCTTTTTAATTGAACATGTAATTTTTATTCTAATATTATAGGTGACATTCTAACATTTTGTTGGGAGGGGGGACGCAGAAATTATTTCCTTCGCCTTTTGTAACAAACTAATCATCACAAAAAAAAAAAAAAAATCATTAAATCCGTAGTGGTACTTGCCAAAAAAAAAAAANTAAATTTTTATTCTAATATTATAGGTGACATTCTAACCTTTTGTTGGGAGGGGGGGACGCAGAAATTATTTCCTTCGCCTTTTGTAACAAACTAATCATCACAAAAAAAAATTAAAAATCATTAAATCCGTAGTGGTACTTGCCAAAAAAAAAAAAGATTGACAAAATCACGCGAATCGGACACCTCAAATGCGTTTTTCGTTTCTTGATTAGGCTGTTGTAATTAATAATATCATAATGAAAATATCGGATTTAAAAACTATAAAGAAATCAATAGCAATAACTGATAAAATTCGACAGAATTATTGCCTTAAAAAGTAAATATTCAATTACACGATTCGCACTTTCCATATTGTTTGAAATAGCACGATTTGAATTTTTCATGTTGTTTATCGGGATATTTAAATTCCACATAAAAATCAATGTCAATAACTGACGAAAATACAGTCGATACAATACATCGATTTACAATACTATCAGCATATATGGAGCGGGTCAAAGAGTGATTATCTAAATGCACGATTCGAATATAACAGGTATCTGTTATATTTGTCTTATTAACAGTTATTGTCTTATTAACAGTAATAATTTGTCTTATTAACAGTTCTGTCAAAAAATAAAGGTATTTTTTTCTTCTTTACTTTTCAATAGAAAAATATTTCTGCAAAAACTCTAACGTTCTGCGACAATGTCGCCGTGTTGCGGCGATTCTGACATGGGGGCGTCTCTCACGCCATACAACCACAAGCAGGTTTATAGGGCAGGTTACATTCACACAGAAGAAAGGACATAGAACACAGACAGAGAAAGTCACCTGACATTCAAAATACAAATAACTTTTTAAAACTTAGTTAAAAAGAAGCACAAATACTATTTGACAATTATTTCTAAAAATTTCTCAAATGAATGATAAATGAGAAGTGAAATAAAGCACACTACACAGATAATAAAGTGTATAGTTTTTACATTTCAGACTGCTTACAATGCTAGTTCACAATCATTTGACAGTTTGTGTATAAATTCCTTTTGTTCAAACTTCTAGATTAATTTCTAGTTTTTGTCGTAATTAATGATTTATTTCCTTTATACTTAATGGTAGGTAATTTTTGCTTAAATTTTTGCCTTAAAATTGTTAATAAAAAAAATAACATAATTTCAGTGAAAAATTTATATGTTCTCCATACCTTACATAAACTAGTGAAAACTGTTCGAATACTGATATTTTACTTAACTGGTATAATAGCTAAAACGTAAAACTTTTTACTTTTAAACATCTATACTTTCAAAGCGAATCAGGTTACACAACTAGAAATATCCTTTTATATTTAAACCCGTAAATTATCAAGAAATATTTCAAAAATATCAATTACAAGCTTTATGAAAAGAGGTATAATTAAATTTTTTTTCCAAGATATAAACACTTTTAAATATTCATATTGTTCACAAATAATAAATTTTAATACTAGCATTGTAAAACAGATATATCTCCGTGTACAGTGCAAGAGAAAATTAAATAAATCTACAATCCAAAAATATCTGGCAACTCATAATATTCTTTGATAACTGAATGATTTTATTCCAACAACAATAACATTAAACCTTTTTCAGTTGTTCCTAAACATGTTTCTTATTTTCATTTAATGATCAATGTAAGAATATTCATTTTTCAGGTTCAATATTTATACATAAGCTTATGTATAAAATTAATTTGAAAAAGATATGATCAAAATTTAAGAATTGTTGGGCTTGTATCACTATCGTGACACGAAAATATCCAAACTTGTGGAGAAAACATATTATTTTACTAAATCAGAGCTCATTCTAGGCAGAAAAAAGGGCAGGGTGCAAAAGTTTAAAAAAGGGGCATTATTATTCTAAAAAGGCAATAATTTCTTTCCATGGGCTTTACACGTTTTATTGAAAAACATTGTCAATTAGTAAAAGAAATTTTTTTTTACTTTACTAAAAGTAGCAAAGCAATCATATTAATTACTAATTTTCATTAATAAATTAACATGTGTATCGAGCTAATTAGCTTGGTAATTTATTTAAAATGCATGCATATATTAATAAAATAATAAATGTATGTTTTTAAGTGACTATAGTTATGATTTAATAATTAAAATGATTAATAATAATTATGATTTAATGATAGTGAAAGTAACTGCAAACTTTCAAAGACAAGTGCAATAAGGGGGTGTGATGGCTATTTTTCCTTTCTCATATAAATCTTTGTATTGACAGCAATGACAAACTAAATAAAAAGAGTTAAAAATAAAAGTTTGAGAAATCCACTGTAGAGTTTGGGGAAAAAATAAAGGGTTGAGGAAAAAAAGAGCAAAAAGGGTATGGAGTCTTAATAGATCAGGACACTAATTTACTTCAGGGGCAACAGGGTGGATTCTTTTGACTAAAAGGGCAGTAGGGTGCTGCGCCCTGTTTACCCTTCCTAAAATGAGCTCTGACAAAATGTGATTTTGACACCCGATGGCTGAGTGGTAGCACTTCACGCCCTCATGCCACAGGTTCTTGGTTCAATCCTCGAGACGGGCAAGGTTGACTCAGCCTTTAATCCCCTCAGCACGTCGATAAAATAAGTACCAAGCATGCTTGGGAACTAAACACAGGGGGTTCCGCGTTCGGCTCACCACCTAACCATAACATCTGCTTTTGCACCCCAGAGTCCAAGGTCAAAACTGAGGTGGGCACAGGCCTTTTTTCTCTATAAGCTGTCACGCCACTGAATTCTGTTTAGTAAATATGACTTCAACTTTTAATATGCTTCCTTATTTAAAAAAAAACATATTTAGACAAAAATCTAACAGGGATATTTCATTTTTTAAAGCAGGTATTTCTGCCAAAGCAACAGATGGATTTTAGACTAAGAAATTTTTTAAAAACAAAAACGTATGAAGGTTTGTCCAGGTATGGCGCAACCCTTTGAGTTGATACTCTTCTGATGCCTTTTTTAAAATTTAGTTTATTACGCTCATTGTCACTGCTTGGAAATTGCTAAATTATGGCTGTTTTCTTTGGCATAGTATTGTGATACGGAAATATTCCTATAAACAGCGTTTCAACTACACTTAATACCATAAATCAAGATTTCATGCAAATATTCCACATACATAAAAGAAGAAATAGGGGGATATTTCCATATCATGATCTGGCGCGCCAACTACAATTGCCAAAGTGCCAAATTGATTTTAAACTTGCAAATTTTTTTAAATCCACGGATCACGATACGGAAATCTACTCAGAAATAGAATAACATTAGTTTAAAACTATTTGTTTATTGTAAATACAGGGATATTCCTATATTGTGATCTTTCACACCAACTACACCCGCCAAAAAAAATTCTAAGTTTGCAACTTTATTCTTTTTTTGAAAAAATAAAATGCATGTAGGGGTTTGTTACGAATTTTCCTCTTCTGTGATGTTTCTTTTCAATTTCTCGCGGTTCACTGCCCAGAAGTCGCCAAAACTTGGCGATTATTTCGGCGTAGATCACGATACGAAAAATCTCTCTAATTTTCGTCATGAATTAAAAAATTTGACATGAATAAATTAATATTTGACGCGAAAAACTTGACACTTGCGCAACACTTGGCACTTTTTGACAATTGTTTACATTTAAAAAAGTCGCATTAATTCACATTAATAATTATGATGCCTAAAAATTCAAAATATAAAAATGCATATTTAAATATTTACCTGGATTCCATGCCATCCGTTTCATTTCCTTCAGTACAAGTCATAACTTCCGTACATGTTGAATCTTTTAACACAGCGTAAGTATATATTTGCTCTGGTCCGTGAGAATCCAGGCTACTGCTAGTGCCAGTAATTGCGTCCATGACAATAGTAGGATTAACAAGTTGAAACACAGACATTTAAGACCTTATGGCCCAGTTGACATAGTACAACAACAATATAAAGATTTGCAATATAAACACAAACATAACATCAACTAAGAACCGCCATAGCAATATTAAACTTTTTTTCCTGTAATTGCCAGCAAAGTTTTTAAAAAAACTACTTAAAAATATTTTGATAGTTGAAGTCGAAGTTTCCAGCTTACTGCAACTGTTAAATTTTCATTTCCCTTTCGAAGGGAAAAAAACAAGGGAAAATGTTGTCCTGGGAAAAATAATTCTAAAATAATTTATTAAATATTTCACTTTTAATCTCGTTTACAGTCAAGTAATCGGTAATTTAAGATTAACGACAGAAGTGCGTCATTGTTAATCCGATAAAAAGTAATTATTTAACCTTTTCTGATCGAAGTCACACGGCAAACAAATAATGAGCGCAGGATTATCAGATTAATCAAACAGATAAACTAAACAAAACAACGCTAACAAATAGGAAAAAGGGTACTAAAAATTGCGATAATAAACTTTATTGATATTTATGCTAACAGATGGCAACAGCATAATTGATTTGTAGATCATTGAAAAATTTTCAATCCCCAAAAATTGCTTCATTCCTGAGTGTCAAACTCCAGACATACTGGAATTTCTATTTTGTTATATTTCTTTGTATGGCTGCATTTAATACAATAACATTTATTATTATTATTATCATTATTTCTTCTGAGCCACATTTGAATACTTAAATAAAAAAAAAATCATTTAATTAATGAAAGTAAATAAAATATACAGACTATCTAGCAATTAAATTTTTTTAAAATCTAATTTCACTATTTTTGATAAAAAAATTTTAAATTGATTAATTTTTTCCAATTTCAGTGCCCTACGGTGGATTGTTGTTAAGAGACAGTTCCTAGTAGAACCCCGAAGTCAAGCATCACTGGTAGCAGTCAATGAACGGGTGGGTGACCATTTGGATCAGCCCATGAAGAGGCTGAGGGTGTGCTGTAACTGTCTTCTTTAAACTGCTTTACCGTAAACTTTGGGGCTACCAAATTGGGGAGCCATCCCCTCAGTAGATCAACATGTCTGTTCGGATGATTCTCAGAAATGACTATAGTCCATAGCCAATAGTCCATTGTAAAATTCTAGGATGGTACTACTCCAATTTCACTATTTTTTAAAAATAAACTACGTATCTATAATTTTTATTCATATTAATTTTGAATCGTGGAGCATTGGCGAATTTTATTTCTTTATCTATTTTTTAAAAATAAGATTAAGTAGTTGAACGGTTCGAAATTCTTATTGGCATTTTCTGTTAAAAATAATTTATTTGAAATACTTAAAAGCGCATCCCAAAAAGATAGAAACCACTCAAAAATGTAAAAAAGCTAGTTCAGTTTTATTTACTGTTACACAACCTTTTAAAATACAGAGTCAATTCTATAAAGCTGGATTTAGCGATAAACCATTGGGATAATTTTTTTTAAAACCGGGTAAATTTTAATATAGACTGTTTTTATTTTTGTAACTTATATTTACTATTTGAGATAGTTTGGATACTTAAACTTCCAGATCTGCAATTTTAATTCTTTGATCAATTTAATATTGATTTGGCTAACAGTAAGAAGTTTAATTTCATGCATTTAAATTATATCAATTTTCAATGTTCAATTTTATCAAATTAAATTTTTCGATTTAAAACTGCATAAATTTTTCATGAAAAGTCAAAAATTTCTTTCCGTCCTGATTTTAAAAACTTTAGCATATAGTATATATTAAATTATAGTAATTTAAGTAGTAAACTTTCATCATGCAGATATATATGTATCATATAAAAATACATTTATATCCTACTAAGCATTCATTTAAAATGAATAAAATGTAAATTTATGTGTAGCAAATATCATTTGCGATAGGAAAGTAATTAGTCCAGTAGTGGACTGATCGTTAAGACACGGCTCCCTGCAGATCACCGAAGTCAAACATCACTGGCTGCAGTCAGTGTGCGGGTGGGTGGCCACTTGGATCAGTTTGTGTAGGGATCTAGTGTGTACGGTATTGGCTCTCGTTAAACTGTTCTACAGTAAAGTGCTCGACTTCACGTGCAGGTCGAAGCAGGGATGCGAACCCCGCTGCAGAGGATCAAAATTGTGCTGGCGTGTCTTCAGATCATCCTCAGGGATGTTTCCCAGAGCATCGCTAATAGCCAATTGTGCAAGTCTAGTGCGACGTAAATGAATTACAACAGAAAAGTAATTAAAAATAGTATTTTCCTTCATCAAATAATTAAAATAAATAAATATCCGGATAAATATAATACCTCTGTGGACTGATCGTAAAGACAAGGTTCCCAGTAGAACAGCGAAGTCGAGCATCGCTGGTTGCGGTCAGTAAGCGGATGGGTGACCACTCTGATCAGCCTAAGTAGGGACCGAGAGTGCGCCGTATCGGTCCTCGTTAAACTGTTCGACCGTAAAGTGCTCGACTTCAAGCTCAGGTCTTCCGGCTAGCAGAAGCCATCTAGAAACCATCTAGCAGAAGCCAGGGTAGCAGTGGCGTGCCAGCCGGGGGGGCAGAGGGGGCGATCGCCCCCTCTGAAATTTTAGTGAGGGGGCAAACAATATGTTTCGCCCCTCCAGAAATTTAAACATTCGAAAAAATAAAATAAAGTAAAATTCCAATTAAAAAAATAGTAAAAAACTAAAATTAAAAATAAAAAAAAAAACTTTTTAATTGAACTTTGAAGCTATTTTCCAAGTAGAAAGCTTAATTTTCTTCTGAAATTAAAGTAAGAGATTATAATAAATATAAAAGCAAGAACTAAAATTGGTAATTTTAGGAAAAAACACTCTTTTTTTTCAAAGCTNAATTTTTCGGATTTAAAATAATAACCATTTTTAATTACAATATTAAAATAATACAACTAATTTTAAAATATTAAATCGGGCAAAGTTTGTGACTTAGCATTGGCTCGCCCCCCCAATCAAAAAAAAGTTGGCACGCCACTGCAGGGTAGCCATCCCCTCTGCAGAGGATCAAAATTGCGATTGCGGATTATCTTCTGGGATGTTTCCCAGACCGTCGCCAATAGCCCATTGTGCAGCTCGTTTACGAGGTAAAGGAAGAATATACCAACTACTAGATAAATATAATACCTGATATATCAATTAATTAAATGTATCTGTTTCTTTATTCCATCAGATTCATTTGCTTCATTGTGCATTCTTATAATTTATGTATTTTATGTTGATTTCCATGGAAACATTAGGGTAAATTTGCCAAATTAACTTTAAATTTAACCATTACTAACAATACAATCTAATTCATATTGTATGAATATAAAACCGTCGAATGCATACTGGACGATGGGGAATAAGTAATTCAGGCATATAAATCCTTGGAGGTGCATCTTTGCATAGTTTATAGCATATAAATATTGTGAAATTTAGAACTTTTCTGAATAACTTTTTTTTAATCTTTCACTAACTTTTATGTTTTAGTTGCAATTAAATATACTTTAAATAAGCTTTAAAACTCAATCAAGCTTTTCACTTGTAGTAGCTAGAGCTCGTAGCTTTGGATGCGTTGAAGTATTTTGATTTCGATTTGCCGAGCGGACTGCGTAGGGGTCAAGGAACTGACCTTGCAGTATAAATGTTCTGGGTTCGGTTCCCGGACAAGGCATGGACATTCCTCATTCTCGGGTTTATCTGTCCTTGTTGTGGGAGCAACGTTGGTCCATCTAATATGGCGCCCCGTGAAAGCGTGGCCAACAAATCTGCCCTGTAAATACCTGAATTGACGAAATGTTAACAGATGTGGGCATTGGAAATAAAACTTTGATTTCAATTTTAATTATTTTTAAAAGATATCCACGATATTGTCAAACCTATTGAAAGTTCTCCACGTATTGATATTTAAGTATAATCTGTCCAGAGGCCATTAAATCATTATAAGTATGAGTTCGAGACATTTCAATAGAGTAGGCAGTAGAAATATTAAAGTTATTTTTCATCTCTTGTGAGATAAGATAGAAAATCAAACGCAATGTTTCATAAAGTGCTGTACTACTTCCTTACGCACCTCTTCAGCCGTAACTTGAGCATCGTAAAATATAATATGCTATTACTCGAAAAGGCAAGCTCCGTCCTCAAAAATTGATATAGCAGTATGCGACACCGTTTATGTTTAAAATTTCTACAACCAAATTAGAAAGGATAAAAATAAATCTAATAATTACTTCGAAATAAAATAATTACTTCGTAACTACGTTTTTATTTCGATAAATATATAAAATTATGCTATATAAATTCTTAAAGTATAAATAACTATTCAACAAACAAAAGGAATCTGAACAAATACTTAAATAACTAGTTTTCTTAAATTATTACTCAAGAAAACCTAACAAAATGAATTATTATAGATGTTGCCAATTTAGATAGAGAAATACCAGAGTTTTTGGTGCCACGTAAGAGAAACAAATGCATAGATTATATAACACATGTATTTTAAATGTGTAATTCACTAAAATGTTTTTTTAATGAATTTTTCTACTACATACAAACAAGATTTGTTGCTCATGTCCAAAATTAATATGAATTTTGCTTAAACTTTTGTTGTAATATTTGTTTTATTATACATTTCGGTATGATGATAGCTGATAAATTAATTGATTATTTATCATATTAGTCCAATAAACCTTTGATTATATTTTCGGTAATTATAAATTTTAAAGGTATAGTAAGGTTTCACCGATTTAAAGTTGTATGACAATATTTGCATTTTAAAAGCGTGATTAATTAATTTTTATGCAATTTTTCAGCTACGGAGTTCAAATCATGAGTTTTATAGTTCATTAGGTAATAAGTACTTACTTTCTCTCCATTTCTTTAGATACCAAATTTGTCATTTATATTTGAAATTCTCAAATTAGTTCATTTTTAGTTTAAATTTTCAACCTCGTTTGTCTATTGCAATATTATACGAACGAAATTCAAATAGAGCGGGGGGGGGGGGNAGAAATTGAAAAAATAATTATAAAATTAATATTTTTAGCAATTTATTCATAAAATGTAAATAAATAAATGAATAATTTAAGACTATTCGAATTTTTCAACTTCAAATAATGCCAACTGATTAAATTTAGTGATATTTTATATATTATTATTTGTTTGCAGTTAAATTTAATTTCTTAGGAGATTTATAATGTTTCGGATCTGAACGAGGTAAGTGTTTCATAAAATTCTTCCATACAGACTGAGTAATTTAAATTCGAAATTTTAAAATGGCAAAAGCTATTTTTTTTTGTATAATTAGCATTCAGTAAACAACATATTTTCTTTTATTTATTGTCAATAATTCAAA